AACTGGACGATCATTGGGATGTTCTGTAGATCAATCTGCATGAATGAAAGGTAATGCATAGTAGTCAAAATCTGATACACCACCCCACACTTTTAAAGTGCAGAGACTTACACTGAACAGAAAATAAAAGCAGATAACATTAGCAAGCAATTCAAATAATTCAAATTTAAAATACTGCTAAATGCATTATCTTAATGAATTTATTTGAACGATCATTCTTTAGAATATTCAAATATCTAATTCTTTGAATGATCAATTTGAAAGAGTTCTGAGTTTTAATCTCAAATTGATTTTTGCTATTATTATAGCTTTGAGACGACTAGCCAAAGATGGAAAGAGAAACCAATCCCTAACGAAGTTGCCAGAAGTCTGAAAATTCGATCCCGGCCTCCACCTGCTAATCGCTTTTCTTTGGAGGGGAGTTTTAACGGAATAAGTTCCAGGGTAAATTTTGGAAGGCAGATGGGTTTGTAGATAAGACACTACCCAGAGATTTCGCCCTCATTTTGTGAAGACTTTATGATTTGAGTTCTAGTTTCCTATAGATGCAAGCCATTATAGTTAATTACCGCTCCCAATAACGAGAGAGAACTTTCGATTAAGGCTAGTCGTCGATCAGATACGTAGAGATACGTGTTATCTGGCATATAGTAGCAGCAATAGGTTTGGATTTGGGAATTCCGAAACTTTGGATGTTTAGAAATTTGGGTAGAGGTATTTGAGGAGTTTGATATTTAAAGTAGAAAATTTCACCACCTTAGATTTAAGGCGGATGGTAGGGGAATAGATGATGGACTCTATCAAGATCCTATGGTTCCGTCATCCCGGGCCATCGTGGTCCCTGGTCTATTTAGTTAGAAGAGATAGTCGACCAAACCTGATAGAAGGATCCTTGTCGGCAGCCATGGGTTGCTTCGTCCAAGGGTACCTTGTAGACCTAGGGGAAATATTTGTTTAAGGGGACAAATTTGAATCCACCTTAGCTAACAGAGGGCTTTGTGCTCTGTCGATCATATCATATTGATTTATATCTCAAAGATTTGATGCCACTAAGGAGCGTATTGGCTCTGGCCATATCCGGTATTTCGTGGTGCCATTTGGTGGCAAAACCACTCTATTCAGAGGGCCCCGGGTCATAACCGTTTATCCTGCGGTGCCATTTGGCGGCAAATTCGCCGGTCAGAGGACACGTACGATGTCCTTATTGGTAGGAGATTGTTTGAGAATGGATCCTATTGATATTTTCGACTAGGCATTTGGCTCTATATGAGCTAAAGTAAATTTTAAATTGTTTACCTCGGCAAACTATTACGGAGGGTGGATGAATTTTGCTTTAAGTGGTTGGATGGTTGAATTTAAATTTTAAATTTCTTGGAGTTTGGAGTTTTTGGATATTTGTGGAATTTTGGATTTTTGATGGACATTTGGGTGGCATTTGAAAAATATTTATGAAATCCTCCGGTTGAGATATTTGTTCAACACGATCATCATCGGGGTGTAAGGGGTTATTTCTCTTTATTGATTGAACCCTATCGACCCTATCAACTTGCCAATAGGGGATCAGGTTTCGTAGGCTTTATGCCTTTATTAGTGAATTCATATTGTTATAAACCTTGAAGGCCTAATATGAATGTATTAAAACAAATATATCGGTCATCGCAATCGTCTATTTGTTTGATAGTTCGAAACTTGTCTGCTCCTATTGATCCACATAGAAGGATCAGGTTTGAACTTGAATTCACTTATTGATCCGCAAAACATCCCTAGACGTCACGTGTGTACTTATAACCCGCTCATCGGGGCCCATGCGGGCGTTTGGGGGCATTTTATAAATATTTACTAAACCTTGTCGACTCCTATTTAGCTTCTTAGGAGGATCGGGTTTGAATTTATTGACTCGCGCAGCATCCATAGACCTCGTGTGTATTTCCACAAAACGGTCGCCGTGGCCCATGTTGGTCGTATAATTGTACTTTCCCCTTTTAGTGTGCCTATGTGCATACATGTTATAGTGCATGTGCAGGGGGGCATTTATTTCAGATTTGGTTGACGCCTTCTGTCTGCTTGTAGGAAGGTTGCAGATCCGGTGGCGTGTTGTAGCAGCTTGTGGATTGAGTTGTTTGCTGATTTGTACAGGTAGACTGTCGTGAACTGCTTGTTTCTCTCTGCAAGTAGATTATAGTGCACTAACCATCCTCTTGCTTTAACTCGTAGCAGCTTGTATTTGTTGAAAGCCTTATGTATTTGCTCGTAGATGTCACTTAATGTTTATAGCGGGTCTCTTATAGAAGCTCATAGTAACTTTCATTTGCTGCATTCTTTACGCATTTTCTTGTGGTTTTTAGTCCCTACAATACATCTGTTATTGTTGTAAGTGGTTGTATTTATTCGCAGACTGAAATTGATTACAGGATACTGCATTTACTGAAGTCTTTCTGCATCTATCCATAAGTGGAATGTGGTGCATACATCTGTATTTGTAGAGAACCCGTATGTATTGCAGATCTTCTGTCATTACCTGTAGGCAAGTTGTACCAAATGTCGGTCTTCTGCAATGCTCTATAGGACCTTACATACATTACAAGTGTGTTACCATCTTTCTCGTTGTAGTTGATTGAATGATTGATACAAATGTCATTCTCAAATAGACTTAGCTGGATACTCTGAGCCCATTTTGTTTTCATCATTCGTCTTTTGAATGCATTGAGGGCTTGATGTGTTTGTTTGTAGATTATTGTTGACTGTCGAACTATAATGTTCATTGTACCTCCTTATAATCGTTGAAATTATCTCACACTATTCAGCTACATGATTGAGATAAGTATCATAAGCTAGTTGATTGCTAATTGCATATAGATTTTGCAATTCCTTGGAGACATTGTGTTGTCATATTGTGTTATCATCATTTATGAGCAAATGATACTTTGCAAGTCCATTGACCCACAAGTTTATAAATTTCCATTTGCATCTCAATGAAATGGTGTCTCCCAATATTTCATTGGCAACATTGTATCATCGTTCAAGTGAGGTTTCATTATTGCTCCTTCATCTTATATTGTTCAAGTCATGATTTGCTTAAGCCAAATGAGCTTCAAGCTCAAGCTTAGGTCAAGTCTGGGTTCAATCATTCAAACTCAAGTGCATATCAATGTCATTTCTCATTCGATCCTTGCTTGCAAATATGCTTCAAGTCATGTTAATTTCCATAAATCCTCTATTTGATTGTTGATGTTCAAGAGAGAACTACATGTCAAAGTTCGTAGCCAATTCATGCATAAACCACCACTTGTTTATTTCACTTCTTTGACTTCATCATTCTTAACAATCATTAGGATTTTGATGATATGATTCAAGCCGATTTCTTTATGGTTGTCCAAGTCCAAAGCCATTGTAGTTCATATCCGGGTTAAAGACCAAATCCTTTGTAATCAAGTTGCAAGAATTTGCTTATGCTCAAATCTTTCAAATTACTCCTTTATATTCAAATGGAGTTCAAGTCATGTCTTCTTAGTGTTCAAATTAAGCACAAGTTTGAGCTCATTTCAGTTTCATTTCATTTAGGTCCAAGTATTCATTAATCATTTGAATTCTAAAATATGTCCCCTGCAGTTCAGCTTGGATTCAAGCTCTTGTTCAAATTGTTCAAGCTCAAATTCCTTGCACCAAGCTCTTTTGAGTTCAAGTATAGTTCATGCTTCAACTTGTATGTTAAGTTCAAATTTAACTTCAAGTTTGAGTCTTTGTTTAAGCTTGAATCCAAGTTCGCATTCAAGTCCTTGTGATTTATTTAAGTCTGAATTCATTTAGATTTGAGTTTATTGCATCAAAGTTCACAAGTCATAGTCTACTGTTGTCATTTTGAATTCAATCAAGTCCGGGTACGATCTCGTGTTCACCTGAAATTTCGGCAGCCTCCCGGCGTCTCCTCGTTTTAGGGAAAAATTACGAGAAAACTAGGCTTTCCCACTACGCGCAATAAAGGCGTGTATGGTAGGTGTCCTCGGATGAAGACACCGCGGCCGTGATCTTTCTTCCCACCACGCGCAATAAAGGCGTGTATAGGGTCTTCGACGGTACCTGTATAAAAAAAAAGTTTGCTTTTCCCTTGCTCGAGGGTACTTATACGTGACCCCACCTCGCCGTAGGCGTCATACCAGGGTCACATCCCACCACGCGCAATAAAGGCGTGTATAGGGGGTTTTCCGATGCGCCGCGAACTTTGAAATTGGATTTAGCTGATTACTCGCCTCGTCGTAGACGTCAAACCCGGGTCCCATCCCACCACGCACAATAAAGGCGTATATAGGCTGTTTTTCGGTACGCCGCGAACTTCGAGATTGGGCTCTCGAGTTTAAGGTGATTACCTGCCTTGTTGTAGACACCGCACTGGGGTCCATCTCACCGCGCTCAATAAAGGCGTGTATAGGCAGTTTTTTGGTGCGCCGCAAACTTCAAGAGTGGGAATATGAGTTTTAGAAATTTTTATACCTTCGCGGGGTTGGCATGTAGCTCGAGGGAAGGAGAGAGGTTCTCTTTTTTATTATGATTAATTATAATTAAAAAACTAATTATAATTAATAATAAGTAATTATAAATAATTGTTCATCTTTAAATTTAATTAATTATAACAAATATATGGCAAATTATTAATTAATTATAATTAAAAAAAATCAATCATAATTAAAATTAATTAATTATGATTAATTTGTAATTTATAATTAATTTTAATTAGACATAATTTATTATAATTAATTTAGTTAATTATAACTAATTTATAATTAATTATAACTAAAAATAATTAGTTTTAAATAATTTTAATTAATTATAATAAGATTAAAAAAAGATTAAAGCAAGATTTAGGTTAAGATGTTATAGGATTGCCGGATTTAAAAAGGATTTGTACATGGTTTAACGTGATTAGTGCCGATTCTAACAGGATTTAGGAACTATAAATCCCATATCAAGTTAAAGCCTCCATTTCTCTTCCTTTGCCTTAATAGATTGCGGGATTTCGCCGAAGAAGCGCATGGGAGGGAGAAAGTTACCTTCACAATGAGCAGCTCCCGTTACTTCTGATCCAACAAAAGGGAAGATCGTCAAAGGAGCGAAGTCGGACAACAAGAAAGCAGTGGAGGATGGAGGTCAGCTTCTCTCTCTCTCTCTCTCTCTCTCTCTCTCTCTCTCTGTGGATCAGAAGAACTTGAAGGTCGGACAGGGATTTCGGAAGAGGCTCGGTTTTGCTTACTACAAAGAGGAGATCAGGTGCTGGAGTGCGGTTTGGATAGGTGAAAAGTTCCGATGTTTTGCGGCTAAGTTTGGAAGAGGATTTGGCCGGAGAAGTGGAGGTCTCGACGTGTCTAGAGCAGAGGAGAGGCGGAGGCTGCGGGTTCGGTCCGAGGGATTCCGCGTGTGGGAAGAGTGCGCTCTCGAAGGCTTCAACTGGTTCAGTATTTAACGACGTGCAAGGGCGCTTGATCGAGGAAGGCTGCAGCAATCCCGCGAGGAGACGCAAACATCGCCGACTGAACATTGTTTTCAGCAGGTTTTGAACCAGATTTTCATGATTTGAGTCGGGATTTGAGTAGGATTTCTGGATTCAGGTGTCTATAGAATTCTTTTTTTTTTAATATGTTATTGAGGTCAACATCCGGACAGCAACTTTAACTTCTATCGAGACTCCATAAATGTCCCCTCTTGAGTTAGGGCATAAAACTTCACATCGAGGTCTCCTTCCCGAATGGCTCGGAAATGTTCCAACAAACACTTCTTAAATTCTCATCATGAATTGATCGGATATATAGCCTCCCTCCATTGGAACCAAGCTAGGGTTTTCCCTAAAAAAATAGATTCGCCGCCATGAGTTTTTCGCCTTCCATCAGCACATTGATAGCGAAATAACGCTCCACTCGGTACACACATCCATGAGCATCTTCTTCTTCAAGACATACATCTTTAACTTCCTCGATCTCGCATCCATATCCGACTGGTTTTTGCCACCATTTGTTTCTCATGTGTAATGGTGGTGCGATTCTCTCCCTTGTTCCCTTGACGGATTTGAACCTAATGGTTTGGCCCAACCATTGCTTCCTCCGATCCACCTTTCCTGCTGCCTAGGTGGTCTCTAAAAGGGTTCAGATTCCCTTCTTCTCGTTTCCCTTTCTTTTGGATACCCCGACCACCGCCCATCAAAATCCCCCTAGTTGGTCCTACAGGGAAAAAACTCTCCGCTTCATCATCATTATCCTTCATTGTCTTTCCCTTCCAATCCGACCTAGGGCGAATCCTTTGATTGCATTTCAATCAATTTCTTCATCATGCCTTCCATGTTTACAAAATGGCTCTCCATGGAGAACCTTTCCTCCATTCCAGAAAATCCTTCCTCTATCCCTGAAAATTTCTCCTGCATATCGGCACTAAATCACAAAAAGCAACAAAAAATTGGTGAATTTGGCATCCAAATAGCGAAAATCCGCAAGGCAAAAAAATTTTCGGCAGAAATCAACGATCGGGACATTAACTTTCGGCCCAGGACACTGCTCTGATACCAATTTGATATGCCTTGGAGTCAACATCAGCAAGCAACAATAGGAAATTCACAGAAAAAAATAGCAAAAATAGCAGATTTAGGAGGGAAATTTGGCTACTTTTAATTAGTAACTCAACAAGAAACAAAAGATACAAGTGTTCTACAATTTGAGAAGTAGATCGGCTCTCCCAAATAACCTATACGCAGCTTGGGAGCCCTCAAGAGAAAACTATAGAAAAACTTCAGCAAAGTCAAAATATCCATGATGTAAGTAAACCCTAGAATCAGTCCTATATAATCCCTCCTAGTTCCCCCCCAAAAAAGCCTTTTTCCCATTTTAATTTCCCTCCTATTTAAATTCAAATAGGAGATTTTTAATTAGAAAACATCTCCTAATTATTTCCCCCAAATCAGTTCCCAAATATGCATTCTTTAATGAAGAAACATTTCCTAATTAATCCCCTCCAAATCAGCCTCCAAATCTGCACTCTTTAATTAGAAAACATTTCCTAATTAATTCCCTCCAAATCAGCCTAAAAAAAGGGACCAAATTAGTCTCCCTAGATTCTGCCTAGCTTGCACTGCCCTTGTTCGCCCTCCCTGGTCTAGGTCCAACAGGACCTAGACCGATCCAGCCCTTCCCTTTTTCCTTGATGCTGTCGTATCACTTGCTCACCATAATTGCCATATTGGATGCATTGCATACATTAACAATGTGCATAATATATAACACCAATTAAAGGCCCGGAGATATTCAAGATTGCAACTTAATACACATCGTAACTCATAAATATCACGATTTGTACTATCCAAGGGATGCAATTGAATTTGTTGCCACAATGTTTTGTTTTATTTGCTACTAATGAGCACAAGGAGCATCTTCGTGGTTTTTTGTCTTTTTTTTTTTTTTTTTTTTTTTTTTTTTTTTTTTTTTCTCTTCTTCTTTATAGGGACCTTGTATTTAAGTCATTCCATGTGTTTGATAATGATCCACCTTTGTACCAACTTTTCATTAATAATGGATTTTTAAGGAATTGCTATATTTATTTTTAATCTAAGGTTTTTCACATAAAATTCCTTATTTCTTTGATTCTGTGTGGCTTTTTTAGTTGAGTTGACATGGAATTCATGCATCGTATAGATAATAAAAATCGTTCAGGTACGCAAAAATTTGGTGTCATTTTAAGAAATTTCACCATTGTTACCGACTGATGACAATAGTATTCAAAACTATTCACTTCCATGGATCTCAAGACCCCTTTATTGGCTTCCCATACCAATACTGTATAGGATACACTGAGGTTTGGGGTTTCAAATGTTGATCTCAAGGTTCTGAAAGCCGACTGATCATGGAACTAAAAAAAAGTAGAGGTTTCTTGTTCAATGGTTCAATTGGAGTTGAACCGGATGACATAATAAATATTAAAATTATTTAAATATAATATAACATATATAATAATTAATAATATAAAACAATTTATATTCTTAACTTTATGTAGTCATTTTAGCATCCCAGATTCGTGGCTTAGCCTAATTTCACAACTTAACTCTCATTTAGATTTCACACAGGTCTTTTAGTCCCACATTAGAGGATATTTTTAAATATTTATTTTTATATAGTGTAAAGCACAAGCTGCTAGCAACAAATCAAGCTATCTGATGTGGCAACTTGGTATTCTTGTTGAGTTTACTTGCATATGTTTTGAAATGAATATTTAAAATAAAAACAAAATTATAACAATAACAACAAGCCTTAATCCCACTACGTGGGGTGGGCTACATGAATTCTTTTTCTTCATTGTATCCTGTTAAGAGTCAAATTCTCCTTAAAATCTAATAAAGAAAGGTCATTTCTAATATTTTCTAACCAAGTCTTTTTAAGTCTACATCTTTCCCTCTGAACGTAAACCAAATCTAATATATCTACTTTCCTAACCGGGTCATCGTAAGGCCGCTGTTTTATGTGACCATATCATCTAATGTGACTCCCTTTATTATTATCTTCCACTGAAGCTACTCCAACCTTTTCATATATATACTTATTTCATATATTGTCTTTAAGAGTAAAGTCACTCATTTACGTGAGCATCCTCATCTCTACACAACTAATATTATTCTTCTCTTTTAATGACCAACATTCTGCACTATAAAGCAATGCAGGTCTCACCACCATCATATAGAATTTTTTCTTTAGTTTGAGGGGGATTTTTCTATCAGACAACAAGCCCGATGCATTCCTCCGCTTCAACCATCCAACTTGAATTCTAGTAACAATATCCCCATCTATTTTACCATCTCTCTGAACAATAGATTTAAGAAATCTAAAATTTATACTCTTAAAATAAAAAAAAACTATTAAAAAGCTTATTAAAATAAAATATATTAGATATATAACCTGCCGGTTTAACAAAACCATGACCAATTCAACGGTTTTCTAATCGAACTAGTGGTTCAAATTGATTTGAGTTAGTTCAATGCAAATCTGATATTTAGACCTGAGCAAACTGACAACTTGACCTGTTCAAATTCAAAACGGTTGAACCTGCGATCCAGTTTGATTTTAAAAACACGGGTAGTTTAGATATGAAATGCAGTAAATCATTCAACATGCACACAAAATTTATAGTTTAAAAACACTTATTTTTTTAATAACTTTTTAATACATAGATAAAATTCGATGATAGCAAAGAAAAAATCAGGTGGCAGTGTAGTGTCCTTTTTTTCAAATAATAAATAAATATTATAGATTATGAATGGCACGCAATGATTTGAAAATTGCATACTTGTTGAAAATTAAATTATATCAAATATGAGTAAAATTAGTCATATGATCAATCCAATATTAAAATTTAGATATTGAAAAGGTAGAAGGAAAAAAATTAACCATAAGTAGGAAAATAAATCTTATGCTTGAGAGTTAACCTAATCTTCAAGTCTTCTTCTTTATCAAGGAATTTACTCTAAAAAATTAAAGGTGTTTAAATTATTCAGCTTCAATTTTATTTAGAACCAATTTTATTGGGATTTGTAAAAGCTACAAATTTTTGTTTATAATTATCAGATTTCTTTTTAAATTCTCAATCCATGGATCGAAGCAACTAAACAAAATCATATACATATATTTACCAGAAATAGACAAATCTCTATAAAAAGAAAAACGAATATTGTTGATGCCCAACTAAAATACAACTAGCCACAAATATTGCAAGGAAGTCAAAGAGTATCACAATAGCTTGAGATGATGATACAAGAGAATTGTTTGTACTTGCAAAGGAAAACCATAGGTACAACATAACATGGTCATCAAACCTGTTGTTGCGGACGCAGAATCAGAGAAATAACAAAACCAAAAGCTTCTTCGAGTCTCAAATGCCCCTAAAAACAGCTAATATGAAGGCCTTAGAAAAGAGGTGCGGCGGACTTCAGAAAGCTGTAGATCCTCATACAATTCAACCTTTCATGATAATATAGCATCCTAGAATGTGTTTCCCTACTCAAAGTTAAAACTCATGCCAAAACAAATTTAAACAATGAAAATTAAAGTTCAATTTTCATATCAGTGCATTTATTTTTCATTTTTGGTGTCTATAATATTGAAATTTGCATCAATTGATC